AGCTGGAAGGAGGGAAAACAGATTAGCACCCGTGGAGGGAAATCCTTTACCCACAGGGCAAATCTGAAGCGACAGCACTTTGCAAAGCAGCAGGGACACAACGCCGAGGGACCTGGGCGTGCTGGCAACGTGAGTGGGACACAGGGATTTTGGGAGTTCGACCAGCACGCGGTTTGCTGCAGGGATATGGGGGTCTGGACCAACTTCGGGGCTCACCAGGAGAGCTGTCCCCATCCAGGCTGCTCCACGCAGGACAGCGGGGGGCCCTCACAGCTGAGTGTTTGGCTGCAGGGCCCCCCGTGCTGACACCGACTGTCCCTTAAGCTGCTATTTCTGATTTTCTCCTCGGCTTCCTCAGCACTCAGGGATCCCGGGGCTTAGCACACTAAGAGGTTTTAGGAATTACACGTCCTGCTGTGGCACCATCTCTTCGTGGACCACACAGCAACCCAGCCTTCCCTTGGCTCCAGTGTGGGCTGTGCAGTGTTGGGATAAGTGGGAAACAACCTCCCTGGGAGAGCTGACACGGGCTCAGGGACAGCCTTAGGAAGGAGAGCTGTAGGGACCTGCTCTGCCCAGCCTGAGGGTGAGGAGGATGCGCTGGAGGCTCTTCCTCCCACTCGTGCCCTTCATGGTCACTGCTGCAGGGGATTGGAGCCCTCCTTCCCCCCCTGCTCCTCCTGTCCTCTCCAGCTCCTTCCTGGCAGGTTCTCCTCCCCCATCCCCTCCCCTCCATTTTTATGTGACTTGAGCATCTTAAACACCGACAGTGGATTTTAATCCTTGCAAGAACCGAGCTCTGGGATCCCAAGCTAATGGAGATGGTTTCCTTGAAGATCTTCTGCCAGATTTCGACCAGCCAAGACTTTTTAAGTCATTTTCACAATGCTCGAACTGAATGAGCTTCATCTCTCTCTGTCTCAACCTCTGTTAAGGTATTTGCTGGCTGGTTTGTCCTTGGGCACAGCCAGTGAGGGCACCAAGAGTGGATGAGCTCCTCGGAGGTGCCGGTGCCAGTCCCAGCGTGGTGGCACTCGCTGCAGCTCCTGCCCTGGCCATGCCCAGGGGCCTTGGCACACAGACTCTGCCTGTCCACCCACAAATAACCCACCACGTGCCCACCCCCATCCCTTTCTGTGCTGCCAGACTTGCCAGGTGACACCCAGTGTCCCAAACCAACCTATTTCTGTACCTGCAGAAATTCTGATGTCTCAGTAGGATGGGAAAAAATGGCTTTTCCCCTCCATCCTCCACCAGGAACCAAGTGTCTCAGGCTGTACTCTGAGACAGCTGTGCCCCAGGAATATTTTGGCTGAATTTCTCTCAGCACCTGGTTTGGTGCACTGGGGGCCTTGAACTTATCAGGGGAAAAAAAGTCCCTTCCTGAAACTTACCCTGCACTGCTGCCTCCAACCAAGCCGATTCATCTCCTCTGGGTGCCAAAGCCCCCGGAGCGCCCCTGGAGCTCTTACCTCAGCTGCCCGAGCTCCAGCCAGCGGCACGGCAGGACCCGGAGCTGGGAAAACCATCCCAGCAGCTGGGGAGCCTTTGGATCGGTGACGCGGCGGCCGCGACCGGCCGAGTTTCTCTGGCAAATTCCAGCCGGGCACCGTAACCCAATCGGCCCCTCGGCGGCGGCACGGGCGGTTTCAGTTGTCAGACACCACCGAAGGACCCGGCACAGGGCTGGATGCTGCGTTTTCCCACCTCATCCCGGCCCCAGGTGAGATCCAGCAGGTGCTGGAGCAAACCCACCCCACCTGCGGCAGGGCAGGGTGAGGAGGCTCCGGGTGAGAAGGGAGTGGAGTGCTCTGGTAAGGCACGAGGGTTTTGCTTTAGAGATTTCAACAAAGGCCACAGAACCGAAGGAATTGCTGTTAATTCCTAAGGCACGATGCAGGAGGGACCGGGGCAGCGTCACGGACCCTCTGGGAAGAAGAAAGCAGCGCATCAGCCGCTCCGGGCTCGCACGGTAACGAGCTGTCCCGAGCCGCGAGAACAAATGATAACCCCGCAGCGCTGGGGTTAGGAAATCATTTAATTTACATTTTTTACGGCTTTCCCCCTCCTTCCCCGCCGCCGCACGGGCTCTGCCGCTGCCCCCCAGCCCAGCGCGGGTCCTGGCCGGGCTCGGGCCGGTCCCTGCGGGGCCGCCGGAGCGCGGGAGGGCGCTGGAAGCCGCTGGAAGGAGAGCCGGGAAAGGCCCTTCCGCAGGGCTGGGCAGCGCGGCCCCGGAGCTCCGGGATCCTCCGGGATCCCCCCGTGTCCCCCCGGGATCCCCCCGGGGCTGGAGCGTGGGCAGGGAAGGGGCTGGAGCAGCAGGAGCAGCCGGGGGGGGGGGTCGGACTCTGCTCCCAGGGAACAGGGACAGGAGGAGAGGGAACGGCCTCCAGCTGTGCCAGGGGAGGCTCAGGTTGGATATTGGGGAAGTTTCTTCGTGGAAAGGGTTGTTAAACACTGGAAGGGGCTGCTCGGGGAGGTGGTGGAGTTCCCATCCCTGGAGGTGTCCAAGGAACGACGGGACGTGACACTCGGGGCTGGGTGACAAGGTGGGGATCGGACACAGGTTGGGCTCGATGGGCTGGGAGGGCTTTTCCAACCGAAAGGATTCTGTGAATCTGCCTTGGCCCTCACAGAAATACTTCTAACGCTGACCTCAGTCCTGTGTGCTGCTGGAGGGGACCGGGATGTGCTGCTGGAGGGACTGGGATGTGCTGATGGAGGGAACCGGGATGTGCTGCTGGAGGGACTGGGATGTGCTGGTGGAGGGGACTGGGATGTGCTGGTGCAGAGGACTGGGATGTGATGGTGCAGGGGACTGGGATGTGCTGCTGGGGGACTGGGATGTGCTGCTGGAGGGG